ACCAGCGATCTTCCCGTTAGCAGCCAAGTATTTAACTACCGTGCCAGCCACCAGGGCTCCACCAGAATTGCTTGACTGAGATTCCACTCCAGGGTACCTACTCTGAAGACTGAAAACAAGGACCAAAAGAGGCATTGATACAACAATGCATTTAAAACTGTAAAAAGATAGAAGTGACTTACAAAATACAGTATAAACATACAATGGAATATGATTTGGCTATAAAAGGAGGGGCGGCACAGGAGAGGAAGACCCTCGATGAGATGGATTGATTCTGTGAGTGAAGTGGTGGGAATGAGTGTGTTTGAGACGGCGAGGTTGGCACAGGATGAAACGGCATTTAGGACTCTTGTGCACTGGGTCATTATGAGTCGCAAGCGACTTGATGGCACATAACAACAAAAACAACATAAAAGGAAGTAATCTTCTGATCTGTCCTGCTGACAAAGTTGAACCGTCAAAGTTTTATGCTGAGTCAAAGAGATCAGACACAAAAGAGTCAATACTGTAAGACCACTTAGATGAAGTACAGAGGAGAGGTGAGATCAGACACAAAGGGGTCACCACTGAAGTACAGAGAAGAGGTAGATGCGGAGACGGAGCAGAGATGAGTGGTGTTAGGGGCTGCGGTCAGGAATGAGGAGATGCTGCCCAGTGGGGACTGAGCGTCTGCAGGGTGATGGAAAGTGCTGCAAAGAGTGACGAGGGCAGCATAACACGGAGAATGTCATTAATGTCGCTGAACTGTACACTTGAAACTGACTGTGGTGGCAAATTCAATGTCATACCACAATACCATTGAAAGCAACAAAGGCAGGCTGGAGGAGTATGGTGGGTGGGCCAGGGCAGTGCTCCGGGGTGAGGACCACCAGCATTGGTGATGACCCCTAACAGGGGCTCAGCTCCTGAAGGCTTTTCCCAGGAGCCCCTGCACTGGCCCAAGGCTGGGTGTGGGCTCTGGGCAGCGTACAGGCCTCCTTCTCCCTGTACTGATGGGAAATGCACTGCAGGCCTCAACACCACGCTAATGCTACCTGGGCGTCTGCATGCTGGCAGACGGACACAGGGGCTTGTTTCGAAGCCCTCCACTCAGCGGGCATGGCAGGAATGGGGGAGCACTGCTGTGGGCTCCCTGCCCTGTAGGCCCTGTGCTGAAGCCCCCCATGTAGCCTGGCCAGAGTTTGTCTCCACATTCTGCAGGGGGCTCTGGGAGGACACATCTTGGCACAAACAGGAGTAGGTGCTGCCCATCGAGGTGGACAGAGGAGCCCCTTGCTCCCTTCTGGGCTGGTCATGTGTCTATCAGTAAGGACAAAAAGGCTAGCCAGCTGAGCTCTTGGACGCATGTAGGGAGCTCAGATGTCCACTCAGATGTGCGTTAGAGGCCTCAGGTTCTGAGCTTTTCCCCACACCAGCCGATTTCTAGAGATTTGGGGTGAGTCAGCTGGGTGCCGGCCCAGGACAGTCTGGCTGACCGAGGAAGGGGGACTTCTTCACTGTACACATTACACTCTGACAGCAGTGGGCCAGGACACTGACTAGGGCTGGCGGGACTTGTTGTTCCCAGGCTCTTCCCACCCCGAGGCTCCTTGCTAAGAACAGGCCACCCTTGTCCAGGGCCTCCGGCCATTCAGGGATTCCTCATCTACGTGTCGCCGATAACAGGCTTAACTTAGCAAATGTAGGAGGGTGGGGCCCTGCAGACCGCCCAGCCGACGCCACCTTCCCACCACCCTGTCTGAGGGGGATGAACGAGCAGACACTGACCACTGATCTACAGGCTCTCGGTCAGAATGGCCAAGGGCCACCTGTTACAGACCCCACCCCAGAACGCAGGTCTAGAATATACAGAGGTGTGCTGAACCCTGAATGCAGCCCGAGGACCTCTACCCAACATTTCCACATGTCCAGCTGGGCAGATAATCACGGTGGCAGGAAGGGACAGTCCATGGAGGAGGACATCTGAAGGTTAGAAGAAGAGGAAGACCTTCAATGAGACGGACTGGCTTTGGCCATGCAGTACAGAAAGGCCCCCTCCCCGCCCCCCCAAGCCCGAGCTGCGCCTGTGGTGCAGGGACTGACACCATGTCGCCTCTCGCACTGGTGTTTTTTACCCAGCAGGCTTTGGCATCCTGCCTGCCTGGAGCAGAGGCCAAGCCAGCTCACCCACAGTGCCCAGCAGTGGTGCGGGGCCGTGCCGGGATGGGCAGCCCTTCACAGAACATACACACGCTAGTCTCGCTGTCCCCGCCCTCACAGGGAAAAGCCGAGACCCTGGAAGCCCCCAGAAGCCCCTGGGGAACAGTGCGGATTTCCCTCTAGCTCAGCATTAGAAGGTGCATCTGGTCTCCTCTGGGGACACAGAGCTTACACTCACACTGGGACCCCAGAGGTGAGCAGGGCTGGCTGGCTGAGGGGCAGTGAAAGCTGGTGAGACCCACGCTTTTGGGGCCCTTGTCCCTGGGCCAGCTCTGGTCAGTCAGATTGAAAGGCTCTTGGCTGGCAGAAGAGGGAAAACGTCACCCAGGAGTAGCCCCTTCTTGGAGCACACGATGGGGGTGCAGTGGAGGCTGGGGAGGGACAGAGCGGCTACCCTGGGCCTGGGAGGGACAGGGATAGAGGCTGAGCAGGTGCCCTGTGGGGTGGAGTGTCAGCGCTGGGGACACGTGGAGCAGAGGGATGGGACACAGAGCCTCACAGCTCCAGGCGTCTCCACAACTCTCCTTTGCAGTGCCATGACCAAGCCTGTCTGTTCAGCTCTTAGTCCCCCAGCTGCACTGCACTTAACCCCATCTACGCATTTCCTCTTAATGGCCCCTTATTCACAAAGGGGGACTTCAGGTCTGCTGTCCTCACTTGCTGGGGGACTGCGAATCCGATCTTAGAGACTAGAGAGACCTAAAGAGGCAGGAGTGGGAGGGCAGAGAGGAGCCGAGCCGGACCCCCGGCTCTGGGATCTGCAGGCTGTGTCTGGTGTGCACTGCTGCCCAGGAAGTGGGCTTGCCCCTCTGCCCGAGCCTGGACAGACCCAGCCTGCCCTCTTGTGCACCGGGACTTCTTTCTCAGCACCAGCGAGGCACAGAGAGCTGGTGGGCATCAGGGATCAGGTGATAGGAATCCAATTTGTCAAATGGACCTGGATCCATCCAACCTCCAGGAACCCCCAGAATCAGAGGCCACTTAGTTACAAAAGGTCCAGGTGGAGGGTTGGGGGTGCCCGCTCCCAGGCCAGGCCTGCTGTGCAGGTCAGAGCACATGGACAGAAAAGGCGGCCAGGCACCTGCAGCTGGGGAATGCCCTCAGCAGTGAAGGCAGGGCCCCCACCCATGAATGCTTACTCCAGCTCTACCCATCAATTGGCCCCCTATCAGATTGCACAGGGACTTAGCCCCCTTTACTCTGCATGTCTCTGGCAGTGGCCCAGCTGCCCGGTGGGGTGGTGAGTGGGAGTGTGGACAAGCCAGAGCCAGTGGCAGGGAGGGGGGAGCCCTTCTTGTCCCTACGAGGCATATCAACCCCGCCTCCAGGAGGAAGCTGTATGAACCCACGCAGAATGGAGGGGGCCCAGGGGTCTGACTGCTCTGTGGCTGTCTGTCTGCGTGACTGGCTTTGTGCTTTACAAAGGTCTCTTTTCTTGCTCAGAGACGGCCTGCACACTAGCCTTTCCAGGCCCGTGATCTTGCTGTATGCCTAGCACCTAACACAGTCAGTATCTCATCCCACCCTCCCAAGTCCTCCGGTCACCATGCAGCAGGGGTCGAGGCTCATAGCAGCCAGTGCAGCTGTCCCAGGTCCACACTGGGCACCTACAGCCCCTCCTGTCCCACCTGTTAGCTGAGTCAAGAGACTCGCCTTCTGAGGGAGTCACAGAAGAGACGCGTGCCACAGGAGACCCCCAAGTCCAGCATCCTTCCAAGTGGGGGTAGTGATGGAGCCAGGGCACTGCTTGTCCTCTTTGTGTCCACTACCTGATCATGGGAACCACTGCCACACAGCGGCCTTCTTCAAGCTGCCTGACCTCACCATGATCTGAGCATGGTGTGCTCTGTGCCCTTCAGGATACTGGACCTGCTGCCTGGAAGACCTTGGCTGCCATTGTCTGTCCACTGCCTGCCCTGCTGTCTTGGGCCTGGATCCGGAAAGTCCGTAGGGCAGACACCAGGGCCCAGCCAGGCTCAGTCCCGTGGATGCAGGCACCAGCTGCTTGTGAGCTCCTGGACCCTCTGCATCCCCAGGTAGACCTGTTACCCTCCCTCAGCTCCTGACCCCCCACATCTCCAGGCAGACCTGTTGCCCTCCCCTGACTCCTGCCCCCCCACTCTCCTCCAGAGCCTAGTTCCCCCATTCCTCCAGGCAGACTGGCTGCCCTCCCTCAGCTCCTGCCCCCTCAATCCTCCAGCTCCTAGCCCCCCTACACCTCCACATAGACCTGCTGCCCTCCCCCGGCGCCTCCAGCTTCTATCCTCCTTACACTCCCAGGTAGACTGGCTGCCCTCCCTCAGCTCTGACCACCTGCATCCTCAGGCAGACCTGCTGCCCTCCCCATTCTGCCCAGGCCTCAGGTAGTACCCCAAACATAAGGATCTCAACAGGCTGGTGACCCAGTGGCCACCGGCTTTTTCCCAGGGCTGCAAGGCTGGCAGTGACCCTGCACTTGGCATTCAGCCTGGCCCGGGGAAGGGGTGCTGGGGTGTTCCCACTCATGAAGAAGGAGCTCATTTCTGGGCACACTTCCCTAGAGGGAGCCAGGAGTCGCTTGATTCTGGGGGTTCAGCAGGCTCAGGTCTGCATTCATCACTGTGACATTCAGCCCGGCCTGGGAAGGGGACAGTAGGGACCAGGCAGCCATCCCCAGCCACAAGTGAGAAGCCCTTTTACCCACAGGGAATCAGGAGCGACCTTAACTCTGGAGGCTTGGTCTCATTCTGGGGGCTCAGGCTGATTCAGGGGTCTTGGGGTGACTCATGGGGCTCGGCCAGCCGGCGCCAGTCTGCACTCACCGTTGGAGCGGTGGATGCAGGTGTGCTGGTTGTCGCTGAGGAAGAAGCCACTGTGACACTGACACTCGTAGCTGCCCATGGCATTGACACAGATCTGCTGGCAGCCACCGTTGTTGTCCTGGCACTCATCCACATCTGTGGGGACAAGAAGCAGAGGAGAGAAGTCACACGTGGAGCCAGGAGAGGAGGGGTGGCTGATGGGGCCAGAGGCAATTACCCCTAGACTGCCCTGTAGGTGCTCCCCACAGGTTTTCCTGAAGACCTTCTAGGAGTGCTCCCAGCAGTGTGTGTGGGAGTGCTCCCAGCAGTGTGTGTGGGAGTGCTCCCCAGAGGTACTGCTGGAGTCCTTCAGAGGTCCTCCTCCCAGGTGCTCTGGGGACATACCCTGGAGGTACTCCTTCTGGAGTGTTCCACACAGGTACGCCTGGTGGGACTTCCCAGAGGGATCCCCGGGGCCCTCTCCAGCGGTACAAAGTCCTCCACGCAAGTACCCCAGGGGGTTCTTTTGTGTTCTAGTGTTCTCATGTTTGTGAAAGACTGATGATAGAAGACTCGGGAGGTATGTTCCACAGCTTCTGCACAGAGTGCTGGGAAAACTCTCGCCTCTGAAATCCTGCAGTTGCTGACGAAGTCCTGGAGGTGTCCTCTCAACGCGCACCTGGCGGTGCTCTCTGGGGTCTTTACAGAAGTGCCCCCAGAGTCCTCTCTGAGAACTGGCAGTGACACGCTGACTGCTGGGGTGTTTCCTGTGCGTCACACATAGCCCTAAGCATCTTATCAGAACGAGTTCTTTAATCCTCACAGCACCCTTGCCAGGCTGACCCAGACATGAGCCCATTTTTACAGACCTGGAAATGGAAATGCATACAGAAAGGCCAAAGCACTTGTCCACGGGCAGAGACAGGACGTGCAGCTCCGGAACTGAGCTCCTCCCCATGTCCCTCCTCATGACGGCTGAGACCTGCCCTGTCTACTCCTGGCACCCACCAACTCACCCCTCCTTGCCCCTTTCTTCATCACGCTGGCAGCACAGCCTGCAGGGCTGAGGGGGGGAGGGCAGACAGCTCTCCTGTGAACGAATGTCAAAGCCCAATGTTCCACCAGGCCACACTGGGCTGTGAGGCACCTTCCCTGTTCCAGGAGCCACATGTAGGTGACGTTCGTTTGAGGCAGAGGCTTCTGGCACAGAAGGCGCACCTGGTGAGGGGGCGGTTTTATGGAATCTGGTCCCGACCAGAACAGCATGTTTCAATTACCAACGTCATAATCCCCCCTGCCGCCTGTGCCATGGTTTCATGATAGAAGGGCTTCCGAAACCTTAATGCCCCAGAACTGTATTGTCACGTTAACAGGCAAATATGGAAAACCTCAAAAGTGCCGTGAGCTTCTGGCTACTTCCAGTCAGTCCCCTGGACCCCCCAGACACACACACTCCCCTAACTTTACCATAAGCCTTTTATATGGTCCTCTTTAACAAAGGCATACTTTACGACCAAGACCAAAGGGATGTTAAAGAGTTGATTGAGTGAACGACATTGAACTTGCAGAGGCCTTGCTTGGCTCTGGGGCCAGTTAAGTTGCGCTTGATTAAACTACAGACAACAGACTAATCGTGAGCTGGGTCGTTCCAATTGGTGTCAGCTGTGGGCAGCAGGAACGGGAGGCAGAGCTCAGCGTTCTCAAAGCCATCGATGGTGACGGCTGGTGTCACGGAGGCTCCCGCTGAGAGGAGCTAAACCATGGGACCACTTGCCTGAGAGTCAGAGCCGGGGAGCCCGGGACTCCCCTCAGTGTGCTCTATCACTCCACAAAGTCTTCCTGGTGGCTTTTTAAAACCACACTGGTGTCACTGTGGTGGGGGCAGCCTTCCTTCCATACCTCTGCTGTGGCCCCTGGCCCTTTGTGGGGTCCGTGCACTGTGAGCAGCTCTCTATCCAGCTCAGTTCTTATCCGTCTTGCTAATACCACCACAAAGCCTGTGTGTTTATGTACTGGGGTGGTGCCAATGCTATAGATGGAGTTGTGTTACTCTGAAATATGTATCAACCTGGCTATTAGATCAGGATTCTCAGTACGGTACAATTCCCCCCATCTGATCCCGTGATGTGCTGTAATTATCCAATGTGTTGTAAACCATCCTTTCCATGATGCTAATGAGGCAGGATTAGAGACAGTTTGTTAATAAGACATGATACAATCTACAGGATTAGGTTATATCGTGAGCCAATCTCTTTTGAAATATGAAAGAGATTAAACAAGTGAGCAGACAGATAGGGACATGCTACCACTAAGAAGAACCAGCAGTGGAGGGGATCCTTTGGATCAGAGGTCCCAGCACTGAGAACATTCTAGACCCAGGGGAAGACTCATGCATGGAGATACTGTCATGGAAAAGACACGTGGAAATAGATAGGAATACAGTGTGAGCAACGGTCATACTGTCAGGACTAAGACATTGAAAGGAGACAAGACATTTCCCTGAAGCAGATACACCAGAGAGAGCCTTTCTCCAAAGCTGACGCCCTGGACTGGACTTCTAATTCATGAAGAATGTTGCATTAGTTTGGGAGACTCATCAGCAACCTGCGTTATGCAGATGATAAACTCTTCCTTGGTGAAAGTGAAGAGGACTTGAAGCACTTTCTGCAGAAGACCAAAGACCTAGCCTTCTATATGGATGGCATGTCAGAACCAAGAAAACACCATCCTCACCAATGAACTGACCGTCTTCTCTCTGTCTAGGACAGAGAGAGAAAAGACTGAAGCTGTCCAGGACTTTGTTTTCCTTGGATCCACAATCAACATCTATAGTAGTAGCAGTGACGTACTTAGAAGACTTATTGCATGGAGCAAATATGTGGGTGAAGGATCTCTTCAAAGAGCTAGGACATCAGTGTAGAGACTAAAGTTTACCTGACCCAAGCCATGGTATTTTCAGTTGCTTCCTATGCATCTGAAAGTTGCACAATGAATAAAGATCACAGAAGAAGATGCCTCTGAATTGGGTGCTCGTGAAGAGTATTGAATATACTGTGATTTGTACTGGGTGAGCAGAAGAACAAAGGATCCTTGGAGAAAGTGCAACAACGGTGCTTCTTGGAGGCAAAGATGGTGAGGACTGTCCCACATCCTTTGGGCATGACATCGTGCTGGGAAAGGAGGAGGGAGGGAGGGAGGG